CCCAGCCGTGTTGAGAAGACGGGCCTCGGCCCGGCCCGCCGTGAGGGGGAGATGGCTGCGGCGCGAACCCTCCTGAGGAGAGGGAGCCCTCTCCGTTGTTCGAGGCACTGTTTGGTCCTAGGCGGGGAAAGGCGGCGGGGCTCCCCTGTTACCAGCCTCCGCAGCGTTAATACCGATATTAAAGTTACTAATCGTGAGGAGAGCAGCTCTGGGGAAGGCTGCAGTGGTACGCGGTGGGTCCCCAGGGCGGTGTGACCTGACCCCCCTCCCTGCCCTGACCCTGGTAGCCCCTGAGGAGCAAAGCCTTGGAGATGGCTCGTAATAAAAACTAACAAGGTTAGCTCATTGTAAAAAAAAAAGAAGGATGATGTCACTGGACATCCTGCAGGAATAACTCCTACACCCGCTTCAGGAAGATTGACACTGTGTCGTTAGGTGGAAGGGGGAAGGCTGGAGGTGGGCTCTGGAGATCACTGAACTTCCTTCATCCCCTGATGAAAGGGGATTCCAGTCTACAGGAAGAGCACTGTGCTGTATTCCCCATAAACATCCGACTTACCCGAGTCTCAGGCTGCTCGTGGGTGCAGTGGGCGGAAGAATTGGACTTGGTCATTGAGGGTACATATTTTAGCTGTCTGGGTCCAGAAGAAACCCATCTCCTTCCTTCCCTCCAGTTCACAAGGTGAATATTGATCCTGCTGCAGACCTTCAGGAGACAGCAGAAGAGCTTAATCTGGAAGTGCAGAGGCAGAGACCTTATATACTCTAAATTAAAAAAAATTAAAAACAGTAGGTGTAGAGCCTTTCTCAGCATCTGCTATTAGGGCCAGGCTTTTTCTGATGGTCAGTACTCGATAACGCCAACATCTGAAGGGCAAATGCATGTGTAGCCAGGTAAATAAGGAAACTAAGACCCTAAACACAAACCGCATCAGAGAGGCATATTATGAGGTAATTTAACATCCTTATAGATGCTGTCCTTTCCCTGAATCAATTATTAGCACATAAATACTGTTCCAGTATTTAAAAGGTGGCTACAAAGAAGAAGACACATGGAAAAGATGAGGGTTAATGAGTACAAGTTACTCCTGAGGAGATTCTAGTTGGACTCGAGGAAAATTTTTCAAAATGAGAACAATCAGCCATAGGAATAATCTCCCCAGGGAAGTGATGGATTCCCCAACATTGGACACTTATAAGATTCAGCTGGACAGGATGCTGGGCCATCTTGTCTAGACCATGCTTTTGCCAAGAAAGGTTGGACCAGATGATCCTTGAGGTCCCTTCCAACCTGGTATTCTATGATTCTATGCAATTATTGTGAATAAATCTGATTATTTTGCTTTGCTGGCTCTGTGTATCTGTAAGCTTTGCATGACATTCTGCCTTAGCAAACTTTTCAAGTTGATTGTAGTAATGTTTTTCTTGTCAAAAATGAATTAGGAGTAGATTGGGAGTGCGTTCTGAAGAAATACTTTTTTCTATTACTAACCCTCAGAAATATCCCATATCTTTCTACCACAGCGCATCTCATCTAGGTCTATCAAAACTGATTCAAAGATGCTGCTGTGTAATGGCTGACTATATTAGGTATTGATCTGAGTTGAATTTCTCCTGTGTGGATGGACAGATCTTAAAACCACTCCCAGTGTTTAGACAGATCAGTGTCTGCATATCCAGTATAGATGTCCAAAGACAACACATGGAATTGGAATTGCTTTCCATCAGTGATAACAATCCAGGAGGGCTATTTACAGTCTTATCTCGTCAAGACTTCAGAGTCGGTCATCTGAGCTGTCTGCCCAAAACTTAACTGCTCTGTTAATCTGGGTGTAACTTTTTGTTGTCCTTCATTTGCCCTAAGTGGATTTTGGTAGCTATTACAGTAAGAGTATCCATACATTGCTAAAGCCACTTTTATTGTGTTTATGTTTACAGTTTTCAGAATGACTTCCTTGGTTGACATGCCCCTGAATTATGAAAAGATGTTTGCTCATCGATTCACATCAGATGATAAAGAATACCAAGAATATCTGAAGCGCCCTGCAGATCCCCCTCCTGTAGTTGAAGAATGGAGAAACAGATCTGGTGGCAACCAGAGAAACAGAGATCGGTACTGATTTTTTTTTTTTTTTTTAAATCTTGGTAGTTTCACAAATATATAGTTAAATGAACACTTATTTCAGAAGAAAGGTAGGATTTTTTTCTGTTAATAGAAGTATCTTCTTGGTACTTCATAGGTAAGTATGTTTAAGAGAAATCATCTTAAACATAGTCAAAGTTTTTGCATTGGGTATAACAGTATTAAGTAATTTGCTTTTTAGTGAGGAATAAGCTGGAACCACTGAAGCCACTGCCCTGGAGTTTGTTACTGCTGAGTCAGGAACATTTTTCCAGAGGGGAAGGATGGGAGTTGTACAAAACTAGGCAGCCTCTCTTCTGTTGGATAAAAACCAGCAGGAAAATGTGCAAAGGAGCAGGCTAATAATGTGATTATCTGTTGCTAGCTGTCCAGAAAAACATTTCATCTGTAACCTAAATATTTGCTGTACTTTGTTAGATTAGCCTGTATGTCTTTTATCTAGTAGAAATGACTGTAAAATCCATCATCTCTGTCTAGCAATTGCGATGTTACCTGCCTATTGCAAAATATTTTAAATTATTTCTTCAGGATGTAATTGCAGCTTTTTACTGAATTCTGGACAGTAACATCTGAGTTTTGTGTGACTGAAAAACACTGATTACAGCACATAGCATGTTTGGTAATACTAACATCAGCTTTTAATGTAAAGTAGTTAAAAGCCGGTCCAACTAACAGCTGGGAAGACTTCTTAGCTAAATATCTAAATAGGATTTGTGCCTTATCGGAAGAAAAGAAGGACAACATTCTAACTTTTTCTTACCCTAGAAGCTTGTCATTGTTAAACACAGAATCAGTTTCTACAGATTAAAAAATAAAAGGTGATTGTTTAAGGAGTTGCTCTTACAAAATTTTGCGGTTCTTTGAACTAATAAACTCTTACATCTACGCTCTGGTCACAAAGTGAACCTCACGTAAATGCTGTTTGTCTACACCACACCACTGAGATATCCAAAGAAAATGACTGTGAGGCAGCTCAGGGGTTGATAGGAATCAAGATACAGCTGAAAAGCCAAAATTTAAACTGAACAATGGCTAAATACAACTGATTACTCTTTCTTGAGTATGGGAATCTACAAGTGACCATGAAGCAGTGGTAGTATGCATATTAGGGAATATGCAAATTTCAGGACTCTTAGCCTGTTGGGTGGTTAAATTGTATTTAAGCTGCTTTGCCACAGCTTTTATTTGTTAAGCTACTGGGTTGAACCTGGCTTCAATGCCACTACAGATCTATCTTCTGGTTGCTTTTTAGATATATGGTCTCTACGAGTCTCTATTCAAAGTTCCAGCAGCTCACCTAACACTCGTGAATACCATGAGTTAGGAAACAGACTGTCCTTCCATTGCTTAGCAAATAGTGTGTTAGGTAGTAGTAAGAAATTAACGAATCACCTCAGATGACTGTAGATATGTTTTCATCAGTTTGTCAGAAAAACAGATAAGTAATTGAGTGTATGAACAGTTACAAGACAGTTTTCATGGAAACTGTAAAATTTAAGAGTTCATTATCATTCATCTTTTTAAAAACTCACGATTTGTGTGAGTCTTTGACATCTCTTTTCATTGCAGGTTTCAAGATGGTAGACATTTCCGAGGGGACAGATACAACTGGCAAGGTGACTATAGATCTAATCAGAGGCCAGAAAGAAGTTGGGGTAATAACTACCAGCAGCACAGACAAGGACAGTCGTACCCCTCCCACTACGGACAATACGGCTACAACTCCTACAACCCAGGGCCTCGTTACCATCCCTACTGATGACACATGTGGTTTGAAAGTCCAGTAACCTATGTGACAAGTCCAGTTAGATTTCAGTTTTCTTATTTTTCCACAGTTTTATAGATAACTGAAGAATTAGTATTACAGTCCATTGCTGTTTATCTGTAGCATGAACTGAAAAAGGGAATACCTTTTATGAATAATAAAAGCCTATTACACGGAGTTTGTTTAGAGCCTGTAGATCTTGGATTAGGTTTCTATCTCTTTCTTTTGTCTCAATACATACTAGTACGCTTCTTTTTGTCCATCACTGAGACTTCTCTCTGTCACTTTTTAGAAAACACAGCAGGTCAGGGGAAAATAGCAGTGGGTTTTGTGCAGCCTGTAGCAGTAGCACATTGCCTTAAGATAGTTGTTTTTGAAAGTGACAGACTGTCTTTCTCTGGAGAGAATTTCTTAGTTTGGCTTTTGATCGTGAGAATAGCTCAGTTTGGTTTGACTTTCAGGTGCTGTAAAACTGAGAAGAGAGATGCTATTACAGAAGTATTTTATGAGGTCAGCATAGTGTCTATTGACTCAATGGCTTCAGTTTGTTTGCAGTATTCCTCTTAAAACATGGTCTAAAAGTTGGAATAAAAATTAAGTAGTTTAAACATGTATCTTCTTATTGTAGTAGCTCAGTGATATACAAGTTTTACCTCAGAAGTGGTATCAGACTTAGATTAATTTGTATCATCTTAAAATAAATTTCATATCTGTATAACAAATTTTGGAATTCCCATTTCAGTACACCTGTAAAATTTGGATGATAATTATAATTAGTTTGTATGAAGTACTTTGTGAATGTTAGAGAAGAAAGGAACCACAGTGAGAACTGTGCTGTACTTTTTTTGCATGAGAAAATAGCATAAGCAGTGCAGAGTGTTACTCAGCTCTTAGAATTTAAGTTCTGTGGGTTCTTTAAGTGTTCATCTAATAAAAGTATAATTCATGTGAAAGGATGTTTCTGAATATTTCTGAAACCTTGTGAAACATTGAGCATTGCCACGCTCTCGTCTAGGCTGACAGCTGCACAAGAAGCAGTACTGACAGACAAGCGTTAACACGGGACAGCTGTTGGTTTAAGTCAGAAGAACGGCCTACTCAGCTGCCATCAAGAGATGAGACACATTGTGATTAACTGGAAGTCTGGAGCATTAATCCACTATCTTACATTCTACTGTAATAGGGTCGAAGTTCTCTGTTTCACCATTTGCGTGAAAAGCTCGTTTGTATCAGGAGAGCAGTGCGTTTCTTTGTACTTGACATTTTCTTCAGCTGTGGTACAGCAACACGGAACCATCCGTGCCGATTGTTGTAAAAGTCATGACGTTACGTGATAAGGAGTGCAAATTAGCACTTCTTGATTTAAAAACAAAGAATAAACGCAGAAGTCAAAAGCACAGTCTCCCAGCTCAGAAGATGCTTCTAAGAGCTAAAGAGTGTGTTTGCTGTTGATCTACACACACACTGTATGTAGCTTTTGCGTAGTCTGTGATACAAAAGCCGCGACACAAGTATCTCCACCTACCTGCTAAGTATTTCTGGTTTCTGTTTCTCATATAATACTATTAACCCTGATACAGTTTTTAATATCCTACTCCCTGAAGTATTTGCCTTGAATTCAGTTGTTTAACCTTAGAAATCTTAGCAAGAGGTTTGTTTTCTCCTTAAGGAGTTCTACTGGATGAAACGCACCCTTTTTAACCCTCGTTAATGTGGTGGAGCTGTTACACAGGGGGATACAAGATCATGCAAAGTTCTTATCTGTGCACTATGGAAAGCCTGCGAGTTGGTGTGGTGGGACTCCCTTTCAATGCAGAATCACATGCCAAGTGCCAGATATCCCAGACTCCCACCTCCATGAAGGGAGTGCATCTCTTTCCGGAAAGAGCCAGACGCTGCCAGCTATGCCACGGAAGTCAGGCTGTGCCAGGATTTTCTTCTTCCTTACCATCTGGAGTAGCATCTCAGGTTGGAATAAAACCTGGCAAAAGGCACGGATTCTGTCTCATCTGTTGCTTTTGCTCAAGCCCAATAACTATTTTATTTTTAGTATCTCTCAGCTAGTGAATAAAGAATCTACAACATTGTGACCAGGCTGTAGGAGCAGATAGATGAGGACGGTGTAAGTGGAAGTTCTGGCTTAGAATCACACATTTCATGATCTCAGCTCTCTTCTGAGTTTCTTGACTGTGAGACCAGGAGAGACACAGGCCAGTGCAGCTTCCTGGTTTCTGTCTTTACATTCTTGACTCCATCTGTCTCACCATTAGAGCTCTCGATTCAACTTTAAGGACCTCTATCATTTGCAAAACTTTTCCTTGGAACAATTATGGCAAGAATTTAATTTTTTGGGGGGAATATATTTCTAAATAAATGTCTGCCTTGCATGGGACAGAAAGGTAAATAGAATACAATATATATTACTTCCTGCAGTTTGCACTTAGATGAATTAGTATTTATTATAAATTCCAGTTTATTGTTTCCATCAAGCTAAATAAAACCAGTAAGTATTGCCTGCAACTACAGTGTGTCACAGGTGACAAAACTGAAGCTGGGTAATTTTAACATTTGCAACTTCAAACGCTATAGAAATTGCTTGCTTTAACTATACTGGAGATTGCGGGGCAAACATTAAAATTCAGCGTCTGGAATCTGACTTGAAGAGATCTCTTCCATCTGACATTTGCTCAGACATCATTATTATCATGAATAAAACAAAAGAGTGTTACGTATCAAAAAATGACTACCACGTTACCAAGAGTTTGAACAACCCAGTTCTGAATACGGCTCTTGCAGCAGTTCTAAATCCATTCCTGAACACATAAGCAATTTTGTATGGACTGTTAATTGATACTGAAGAATTATCACACTAAATTACAGGTGCTGTGGCAAACAACTGAGAAAACTCAGTAGCTTTTATACAATCTTAACTAGCATTTTAAAAAAACACTAAAGGCTTTCAAATCACAGCTAAGCCACTAGATACTTGAAGGCAAAAGAAAGCACAGAGAAAAAAAAAATCTCAGTATGATTTGTGGGATACAATTTTACAAGCGTTCACTGCTATTAAACCTCTATTTTATCCTGGCTCTGCAGCTGGGAATAGGAATGTGCAGCCGTGCTTTGAAAGGTTACTTAGAAGCCAAACTACTTTCAAGAGGCTCTCTAGTAGAGACTTCAGACAGGAAAGACAAGCGTCATTCCTGATATATATATATAATTAACATTTAACTTCTAGAACAGAAAATATATTTAATCTCCCACTGTTTAAATATATTTGGATATATAGCAAAAGTTGTAATTTGAATATATTGCAGGACTTATATCTTTGAATATATTTTAACTCATACTATTAATTTGATAATAAACTGCTTAACCAAGAAACGTGTTCACATTTGCTTCTTATAGTTATTATACTGAGATGTTGGAAAAAAAATTCTTTTTGTATCAAATTTAAGATAAGGTTTTGCCTGCACCACTCCTACTCCTTAGAAAAAAAAAGTAAATCTCTAAGATATACAACTCTGGGTGAATTTTGTTAGCTGATCCAACTTGTGCAGTCACACCTTCTCTAACTGACAAGCAAGAGGAGTAGGAACATGGAGCACGGAAGGGAAAACAGCACTGCTCCCTACAGCAGCTACCGACCGCCTTCGGAGCCATTTAACAAAGCTGCACCTCCCTTGCCCTTCATGTGCCAATCATGAAAAATGACTATAATCTGTCCCCTCGTCCCTGTTTGTTAGAAGAGAGCTATATACCCTGCTTAAATTATGCACAGCACCGACATTCTAATGGCCAGAAGCTAAACAAGATTATAGAGCAGATCAGGCTTCCCTGAAAGCACCTTGGAAATATGCAGCCTGATTTGAGACACACAGAGGTAAATCCTGGAGATCAAAACAAAGTCCAGCAGCTCCAGCACTTCCACGAGAGTAGATGGCAACTGTACTGTGATGGTGCACAATGATCTTGCCTCTCAAGGATTATTTTTTCATTAGGCCCCACATGCTGGAACTTATTTTTGTGTTTACCATGGGCTGTATTTTTCCTCAGCAAAGCACGGGCTGCACTTAGTGGTTGTCAGTCCTCATTTGCTTACGCGAAACAGCGATGCCAAAGTATTATTTCTATATAGCTCACCCCCTGACTTTCCAAGTACTCTCTCCTATTAAGATGTTAATTTATTACAAGAGATGGTAAAAGTTGGTAATAACTACATTTTCCTGTAAGTCTATTAAACACACAACAGGACAAATCATCCCCAATGGTTACCTTTTTTGTTACTTGTAACGAGCAGGAACACAAATGAATGTTGTCTTTCTCCTAACACAGATGTGTCTTTTTCAAGTAATACTTCGGCAGCTGGATGACTTTTTTCACCCACAAGTATGGGTTGGCTTCTTTTTTTGCATATTATGTAATTCAAACCTTGCTTCTCTAATAAAAGATGAATCAATATCAAGTATCAAAGCTGCTCTTCGTTATTCTTTGAAGAAAAAGCCCTCATCTATTCAAAAGATGAGTTGAAGTTAAGAAAACAACTTAGCTATTTATTATAAAACTACAAAAATAACCAAGGCTCAATCTTATTTACTAAAAAAATTTAAAATCTTCCAACTGAAACACGGAACATGTTAAAAGAATGATTAAGACACTGCACTTCTTCAAAGCTCTTCTTCAGTGTGAATAAAGACAATTTGGTATTTATATACCCACATAAATGAAATACTTACGATTCTAATTAGTACTGTTGAGATAAAGGTTAAAAACCCAAGCATACTGTACGAAGTTTCACATAGCTTCTGGACACCATGTTCCAACTTCAGCATGATCAGAAAGCAGATGCTCTTAGTCCAAAGTTACGTCTGAAGTTTCTTTCTGAAGAAATGCTTGAAATGACACATTTTCTTTTGAAAACATGCTCAATGAAAATAAACAGATAGTAATAATTGCCTAGTGCAACCAGCCCAAACCATTACAAATTCTTATTACAAAATAAAAAGAAAATTATATTTTCCATGGCAAAGGCCTGGTTCTTAAGTTTTACCCTTCTGTAGTCATCTTGATTTATGAATGCCACCGAGACCTAAATCTGAAGCACATTTAAGAATACTGCTTCAGTGGTTTTAATGTGATGAGCATTTAAATACAGCAAAAGAAACCTCTGGGAGTTTGGATCAGTTTAGTGCAAGAGCTCTGTGTGGACACATGTTCTCCTCAGATCAAGCCCATGTTACTCATTTAGAAGCCACACACTTGAAATGCCTGCTCTGAAGTGATGAAGCATCGAGCTTGGGGTACACAAACCCTCCTATAAATCCCAGCTGCAGCTAAACCGTTGTAAGAATATAACAGAGCTTAGCCCTGAATTTTCAGGGGGCAATTACTGTTTCCCCAACCCTGCAGCTCAGAGAATACTTCCATCAGCAGAACTACATTTTTTTGTTGTTTTAAGATAAGATAGGAGAGGAA